TTACAATGTAATTGAATTACAACGTAGTTGAGTTACAATGTAATTGAATTACAACGTAGTTGAGTTACAATGTAATTGAATTACAGAGTAATTGAGTTACAATGTAATTGAATTACAGAGTAATTGAATTACAATATAATTGAATTACGGAGTAATTGAATTGAACGGCGATCTGAATTACGAATTACAATATAATTGAATTACATTGTAATTATGATTCCTGGAGTAATTCAATTGTAATTCTACACAGCTCTACCCTCCCTAAGTGAACGAAATTTCCACAAAATCCATGCATTCTCCTTGCAGGTAACCAGTTGTAACCCGACGATTTTGTCGGCGTGGGTAGAGACAACAGCGTCTCGCCGAAATTGTAGCGAGCGATGGGTCACGTTATCGATCGTTGTTGCAGAAGCGAGAATCCGGTGCGGCTCGGCGAATGGGTCGAGGTGCGGGTGTCGAGGACCGGACGCTTGGCGTCCCTCGAGGTCGAGGACGATGCTCCGCAGGAAATCCTGGCGCCAGGCGCTTTCACGCAGCTGTCACTGCCTCTCAATCTTTACTTGGGTGGCGCGCCTTCGACGGACATGTACTCGCCCAAGATGAAGACCACCGCTAGTTTTGTTGGATGCATTCAAACCGTCATCCTAAATCGCCGGGAGGTGAGGAACTAGCGCGATTCACGAAAATAACCCACCGCGATGCGTTCGCACTCTAACAGCATTGCCGGAAATTGTCACTTCAACACTATTTTTCTTTTATTTCTTCGCAACTACTTGTATGCCTGATAAAATCTCTCACATCTACTATATACCTATTGTGCTGTACATATGTATGTGTGTATTCAATATGTGTTTATTTCGATATTTTTTCCTTTCTTTTTTTTTTATTTCGTTTTCCTTTTTTCTCTTTGTTTGTCTTATGCGATTGCTATATAAAATAAGTATATATATTTCGACTTATTTCGATATTGTTTTCTTTTCTGTTTTTTTCCTTTTTTCTGAAAATAATAATAATAATAATAATAATAATAATAATAATAATAATAATAATAATAATAATAAATAAATAAACCTACCGAGTACTGATATACATACATACATATATACGATACTGTACATCGCCACATAAAAGAGAGAAAATTCAATAGAATTCGTTTAGGTTTTGTAAACCTTTCGTTAGCAAAATTTGCTGCAATAATGTAATTTATTCGAGCATTTTTCATGAACGAGTCCCTGAATTTTGTAACATCTTAAAACAAAAAATCGGTCATTTTGACTCGTAGTAGATTCAGTATTAATGATGGCATTTGACGGACTGGAGTTCAGAAAAATGATGGGCAGCATCATTTTTCTTGAATGGGAATCAAGAAGACTGACCGCTTAAATATTCATCGACCTCGCGTCTCTACCGTCAAGCTAAGCTAAAAGTTTTCATTGTACGCCACAATTTTTATTTTGAAAAGGTCAGTCATTTTTCTGATCTTTTGTTCTTCCGTTTTCCATCTCTCACGTATTTCGAACGATTTTTAAACGATGAAACAATATGTACGCGAACTGACCGGTTACCGCTGCAAAAAACAAAAAACAATATATTTTGAAACGCGTTTCGAAAGACAAGCAAAATTTAAACCGCACAGGTTCGTTAGCTTTCGCTTAATAAAAAACCTGCACCGAAGAGAAAAATGACTTTTCGCGAATGAAAATCGTGAAATATTCGCCGATGAAATATTTATGGACTTCATTTTCGCTGCCAGGCAACAGTACATTTTTCACTGCGCCGCAGTTTGCATTTTTAAGAGGGCAGAATAATTTTGCCAATTTAGTGAAAGATTGCCGCTGCTATTTTCGCGAATGGTTTCGCGTTTGTCGTAAACTGAGAACTGTTACAGGCAAAAAGCGTTTTAAAACATATCCGAATGACAAATACATTATCAGGTCGTAATTAAAGTAGCCCGCGAATGTCAAATATAATTAATTATAGTATTCGATGGTTATGCAAATACAAAATAATTGTATTCTGTTACTTCGTACAATGTTGAATACACCGGCATTTCATATTCCTTTTACCAATAGATACAGAATATGCTCGTATTTTGTATTCTACACTCAAGTATATTAACACGTTCCGTGCCACGTGTACCATCGATGGTACACGCTTGCATGTTTACTTAGTGAACTGAACAAATTGTTTACAAGAAATGTAGAACCGAAGAATCAATTTCCACCGCAAGAATGGGCGTTGATAAGTTTTTGTTACGCTGTTATGTGTACGAGAATTAATAATTGCACGTAATACATCAAGTTTTAGTAAAATATCAAAGTGTGAAGATTCGAGTAAAAAAAGCTCGGCACGGAACGTGTTAAGAATAGTCTTATTCGCTTATATTTTCGAATGAATATATCGATTGGTATTAGTTGTAAACATATTATACGTAGATGTGTGTAATGCGCATTTCTAAAAACTGCTAGGAAGCAGAGCTCGTTTACAAGAACGCTTGTTTACAAAAATGTACTGACGAATGTGACTCCGTGATTTGCTTATTGCCGTGCTAATTCATTACCGCGTTGGTCATAAGACAGAGTGTGTATATTCACTGAACCACACATACAATGCGAATATTTATTAATTATCTCGTCTAACAAATTGAATCCCAGAAAGTAATTAATTTTGTATTCGGATACGCGCTCTACTGCAAATACAAGTACAGTAATTTCTCCGAGAAATGTTTGGAGCCTCGCGGCTCGTATTCATAGAAATTCGAGGCAGTCTGCAAAAAGAAGGCAGCAACACCGCGGTTTTTCTTATCTGACTCACACCCAAACGGACCATTTTGTGTTGTCTTCCGGAAATTCGTGTCGCGGGCCGCATCACAAGCTTGACCGACTCCGTCGAGCCGTAGCATCGACGTAATAATAAATTACATAGGCGTAGCACTTGCACAGAGAAATTCACAGCAACCTAAAATATGGCATATGTTCCTATATATTTCATATATTTTATTTATACATTGTTTCTATATATTTCATATATTTTATTTATACATTATTTCTATATATTTCATATATTTTATTTATACATTATTTCTATATATTTCATATATTTTATTTATACATTATTTCTATATATTTCATATATTTTATTTATACATTGTTTCTATATATTTCATATATTTTATTTATACATTATTTATATATATTTCATATATTTCGATGGCAAATATTTCCATTCTTATCAGACGAAGAATACGAAATATTATTATATTCGGTATTCGGCTACTCCTAGAATACAAACTACAGGGGTATTTAACATTCTGTAACACGATTAAATACAAATTGCCAAAGTATTCACCAATCGGATTTATGTATTCAATAGAAGTAACCAGTACTTTACGCGTATTTTAATTACAAAAATATTCAATGTTGCCCATCTCTGTGTTAAACAATGTTGAACAGTCGTACAGTGTGCATAGCTCGTTAGCCGCAAGTGTCAAAATAACACAGTTCGTAGCGTGGATCTAATTGAAATTAATATTAATCCCGTTAAGCACGACGGGCGCATTCAAGAGAGAAAGAGAGATAACTATTTCATCGATAACACCGAATGCTCGACATCAGCATTTAGTATTTCTGTGATAAGACCCAGTTTTCCGTTGTCTACGTTACCGAGCATCACGCCACATTTCGAACACGTACCTCCCCTATTTCACTTGACATAAATTTCCCAAGAGAAGCTAAACATACGTTTCAACTTTAATTACCTGTCTTCGTGCTTCTGAAACAGAAATATTGCAGGAACGCGAATTTAAGAATTAGAACCAACGAAAATTAGAACGAACGAGAATTGGATCGAATTTAAGAACCATTACCATTTCTCATTTAACCCTTTGAACTCGGAATACCGCTGATAAATATGGTACTCACACATTGCGATATTATACGATCCTGGCAAAATTAATTCGATCGAATGAATCGATTATCTGCCATTACAATTATTTATACATTTCGCGTGAAATCAATTTTCGTTAACGATCTAGACGTATTAAAATGATAAAAACCGTGATACATCGAGGCAACGTAAATATTAAATAGAATAATATAATAAATATTAAATAGAATGTTCGTTCTTTTTATATAGAAAATTTTTTATTATACATTATATAATAATGTATAAAAAAATTAATTATAATATTTTATTATACAGAAATTGTCTTAGCAATCTCTATCGACGAAGATCCATAACTTCTTGAAATTATCTATGGATTTTGTGTTATTAAATGGTTTGCTAAATTGTCCTATGATCAGAAAAGGGCATAGTTTTATTCCATGAGAAATGAAGAAATAAAATGGCTCACAAAATATTTGATTTGGACACGATTAAATCTGTGCAGAGCTTTAGACGAGTTAAAACTTATCTCCGTCGACTGCAACAAAGACGAGTCAAACAAACATTCCTTTTTCTCTTTAACATTTTCAACGAGCTGAAAATAATACGCGAACGATCTCCTTAAATTCTTCTAATATTTTCATCGTTCGTAAATTTCACCTGCCCATTTTAATTATACATGCATGCAATCTGATCACACTATTTTTAATGTTTACGTAATTCTCGTAGAACGAATCATGTCATATTTGATAAAAGTATAAAAGCACCTGTCCGCTTGTTGAACAAATTATTTGTTTCACTGAATTGTTTTACAAATTGTCAACAATTCTGCTCTAGGATTCCGGTCGAATATTTTCTGCCAAGGATAGTAACAAATTCTATTCAACCGGAGTAATTGTTCGTGTCGTGTGGACAGCTGATCTGAGAAAATTCTGCGCGCGCCAGGAGTTACAGTGAATATTTCGCAAGCTGCTTATCGCGAACAGCGATATCGGCGCAAAAGGTGTATTGTCATTACAGCAGCGGTGTTTTAAGCACGCGCGAATAGTTCTCTGCGTGTGAACACCGTCGACGATAATACCGTAGACGAGACCCGATCGAAATACCAAGTTCTTGAGAGAGAGAGAGAGAGAGAGAGAGAGAGAGAGAGAGAGAGAGAAATTCAGCCGAGGCAAAATGATTTATTAACGCTCCGAATGGTTCTGTTCGACGGAAATTATCACGCGGAACGGACGGTGCATAAATATTTGCGGGCCATTAAAACGTGCGAATGCACGCGTTCCGCTCTTCGACATTTTTTCACTTTCTCACGGCACACACTGATTCAGAAACGGACAAAACCCTATTTTCATTACAATTGTCTTGGTGTTTGATGTGCTGAACTGTTTCGTTAACGCTAGAAACAAGTGTACAAATTTCGCAACTCAGTATTAGTCCCCTTATAGATCGTACTCTCCTTTTTGCAAATTAAATGAACTCTTTTTGCAAGTTGTTTTCCATTCTTCCGCAAATTTTCATCTTTTCACAGGTGAGAAAATTGGCCGTCTTTTATTCTATTTTTAAATACATAGGATAATACAAACTTTGTTGACAAAATAATTCATCTCCACGAATCTCCGAATCTTCTTCATTATTTGTCAAATGTTGTTAAATGTTTTAACTGTTAGATGTCATTAAATTTATAAATTAAATAATTTATTAATAAATTTGTCAGGTGTCATTTAATGCATAAACTTAATAATTATCTGTCAAATGTTATCCAATTCTTAACTTGAATGTTAATTTATACGCGTGTTTATTTAGAAAATAATACGAGCTTCATTACGAATAATTAGTCTTCATTCATCCTCAATAATTATTTATAAAATGTCATTCAATGTTTAAATATGATATGAATTTTACTAAAAATAATTAGGACTAAGTGAATTTAATTTGCAAACGGTATAGCATAGTGAGTATAAATTATTAAAGGATTGATTTGATTTGCAAGAATGTGACTACGATTTTTACAAAACGGTGAATTTGATTTGAAAGGCTATGATTTAATGAAAAATTAAATCGGAGTGCATGAAGGTGAATATAATCTAAGATTAATTATGAGTGCGAAACGTGCGATGAATGGATTTTGAATTGTATGCTGAATTATTTTCCTACTTCGATCGCACACAAGAAACTGGTTTCAAACCAAAACATGTTTCTCTCCTTATTTCTTCAATTGTTCCACTCCTTCTTTTCCTTAATTATTTCTTGGCCTAATTTCTACTTGAATAAGTTTAATCTAATATTATATTCTTCCAGTTTGTATACGATTTTATATTTCTCCCATTCATTGCACCAAGAAATGCGTAAAATCTAATTATTGCTAGACTGCAGATTTTATGCAGAGCACAATCCAGCATCGATTGTAAAGTACGGAGGAGCCAAACAGAAACTTGTTTCCTTCCTTAATTGCTTTTTTCTTTGTTTCCTTAATTGTTTCCTTAATTGTTTCTTTAATTGTTTCTTTCCTGGACTCCTGTTTGAATAGATTCGAAGGCGTATACTCTTACACTCCTTTAGGTTTCCTCCGTTTTTATACGTGGTATTTCACCTAGTCTTGTACTCGTGCAGATTACTCTACAGATTAGCAGTGAATAAATTGCGGATTTTACGTGTTTATATGACAAGAATCGATAAGAAATACCGCGAAGACACCGAGATCAATTTAGGAATACGATTCTATTATTTCAGAGCGGGTATATTTTATTCGACTAAAGAATAAGATTGTTTGCGTAGAATTTATTCAAAATATTATACGAACATAATTTTATTCAAATAAAACTTTTATTTATTCGAAAAGTTAATTGAATGAAACGAATCATTATTCGAAGAAATTATTCGAAACGTTATTCGAGGCGTTTAGGGCAAAAAAGAATGGCTGAAGTATAAAATTGCGACGACATAGGACGAATTTCATTATTTTATTACGCAACATTCAACCTATCGAAATTATCAAACGAAACAATTCATTTTGATTTAATTTCTGTTTCTTACAGTCGCCTTTGAAAATTTCGATTTTGCACAAAGATCCGCAGTCTGCTGATCGAACAGCTTGTTCTAATATTCCAAGAAAATCTATTTTCAATGAGTTATTGTTTGCACATCGATGCTTCTGACAAACGACTGATTACGGACAATTGATTATCGATTTCGAGCGAATGTGGAACAATGGCAGTTCGATGGAAATTCGATAGGAACAGAGGCGTCCGATGCAAAGGGGAACTCTACCAAAGTAATCGTTGAATTTATTGATATTAGGCGAGTGCAGCGAGTTCCATCGAGTTCCACGTTATCCACCAATCACCTCGCTTCTTTTCAATTAGCTATAATGTACGGAAATTTATCGTAGTTCGGTGTTCTGCCTGTGAAAGTTCGGGTAAAGTGACGATTCATTTTTATGAATAGAACAGGCGCCTTGGCAACCATTTTCTCAGATTTTCCTGATATTGTAAAGTCATTGTTAACGAGAATACAATCGTGAACGGGCCGAAGCAAACATGATCGAAAAAATATTGATCAAGCGTCTCTCAAACAAGCTAAAAAGACGAGTCCCTTACTTTCAATTTGCCATCTAACTTAATCACTGGACTGCGGATTTGTATGCAAAATAAAAATTGTCCGCATCAATTGCCAGAAATCTAAGTTAAATAGCATGATTTCCCTTCCCTCAATAATCTTAATGGATCAAAAATTGACATTTCTCAATTCTTTTAATATTCCTACTAATGTAATTTTGTATCCCTCAATTTTAAATGCATAAAATCCGCAGTCTATTAGTCACGGCAAACTTTGCGTTCGATTCTGCAACAAGTTCATCCCAATACACTATAACCGTCCCCTATAACCGTACTAATTTACACTTCCCCTATAACCGTCACTAATTTTGCAAATTATTTCGTCTATTAGGTACCAACGAAATCACTTAGAAAACGCTCGTTTCTACCCGCCAGTCTGTGAGAAACAATGTATATCCTGCCATAAAAAAAAATCCAACTATACATGGTATTAGATAAATCACAATTTTGTTGAAATATTTCAAGTTCAACCTAAATTTCCAAGGTTAAAAAAAATGTCCATTCTACATTCTCTCTATTTTTCCCACGATCTGCAACATTTTTGATGAAACGCTTTGTCTCACTTCCATCAAAAGCTCTTTAATTTTCACACAACTTTGCCGCACAGCGAGCGCGCCGCTTCCGAAAACTGTCGAATATGGAGCGGAAAACACAGCGAACGTGTTCGCGTCACCGGCAACAGGATTGTCCTGGATAGTCCGAGCCGGAAGATGGCCAGAGAACCGAAATTTTGATCGGTTTTACAGGGTGCCCAGGATCCGTCGAGCGTAGATCGCGTGCGAAATAGCGCGTTCGTCGCCGAGGAATTCGTTCGTCGCCAAGAATGAACGTATAATCGCTCGAGTCTACATTGTCAATTAGAACCGTCGATTTCCTCTGTACAGATTGGAATTCTTGCCGAGGCCCTGGGCGGGGTGAACGTCGGGAACTGCGGACACGCGTGCGAGGCCAGGCCCTGCGGAGACGCGGAATGCCGACCCCTCCGGGACCGTTTCACCTGTCGCTGTCGACCCGGTATGCCGCATCCTTGTCCAGCGCCCGACGACAATACGATCCTCGGCGTTTCGCCGGCGAAATCGAACGTTGGGGCGCGCTACGAGAGGTCGGTGCCGAGCTTTTCCGGCAGCGAGAGCTATCTGCATTACAACGACGCCGACACGATGAAAAGGTAACGCGTTACACGAAATCTACATAACTTTTGCGATCGTTTCGCACATTTCGAATTGGTTTTGGACATTTTAAATTGGTTTTGGACGTTTTAAATTGATTTTCGACACTTTAGCCGTATATGGTATACTACTGTGATCAAAAAGTAAGGTGAATTTGTTTATAAAATGTAAATTCTTTATTTATTCTTCCAAATCAATTTCATCCCCTTCAAAGTAATCCCCGTCCGATAAAACGCACTGTTTCCGACGCTTTTTCCAGTCCTCGAAACAGTCGGAATAGTCTTTTTCCGGTATAGCCTTCAAGACCTTCTTCGATTCGGTTTTTATTTCCTCAATCGTGTCAAAACGGCGTCCCCGCATTGGCTTTTTGAGTTTGCTGAATAACCAGAAGTCGCACGGAGCCAAATCAGGCGAATACGGTGGTTACGGAACGATATGAGTCGAGTTTTTGGCAAAAAAGTCGCGAAGAACCAATGCAGTATGACATGGCACCAATCGAGACTTGGCGCGTTTGAGACACAAAACATCCTTCAAAATGGTTTGGACTGAGCCAAATGATATTCCAACACTATCAGCGAGGTCTCTCATTGTCAGTCGAC